ATAATTGATGTGATGAAGTTTAATTTTGATCCAGCCTGCGTAATTAAATAAATTATTTTTCACAAGCAGGTGACTCGGTTCTGCACACCAGTACACAAAGAAAAAATAACTATAAATTAATATACCCTCTCTTCAGCAATCCTTTGTTGTTGTAACTCCTCAACTCGACGTGCATCTTGGATAGACAGACTTTCTCCAAGAAGTCCTCTCATACCTGATCTGGTTCTCCTCCCTCTGGACTGTTGCTGCGATTTTTGAAGAGCTTTTCCAATTCGAACAGCTGCTCTAGGCTCCGGTATATATTCTGTATCAGACCATGCGAGGCTCTCGTCATGGAAACTCTAATGTTGAAACAAGAATAAAAAAGAGAACCCATTTCAGTAAAGAACAAGAGGCCACAACAACATTTGTCAGACAAAACAAGCAGTAAGCAGTAGCTTACTAGCAGGCTACCATGCTTTTTATTACTCTGTTCTGAAAATAATCAATAAATTAATATTTTAAAACATACTTCGTTACCATATGTATGGGATTAGATTTGTGCCAATAGGATCAAGAAAAAACACTTTGGAGAGCAAACAAATTTTAAGACATTGAGAGAAAAACACATTCGTTTCAAAAGAAAAACTTACGATCTGAATAAGATTCTTAAAATGATCAAGAAAAACACTTTGATGGTCAAACAAAAATTAAGAAATTGACAGAACAAAAATATTGACTAAAGGAAAAAAAACATGTTTCAAAAGTAAAACTTACTATCTGAATCAACTTCTTAAAATGAGTAACAAAGTATGTTTCCTTTTTCTGTTTGCCTCTATGTGTTTTTGTTATCAATTTCCTTAGTTTCGTTCACGCAGCTCACAGCTTAGCTCTCTCTACCAGATTTGCACTTACACTGTCTGGCTTTCTCCTTTGCAATCCCTGAGTTTTTGGTTGCAATTCTGACACAACCATCGGACACAACCCTTTTGGGTCAGAAGTAGTGTTGTCAAAAAAATCGATACCCAGATATAAATCGATACTAAAAGTGGTATCTAAATGAGATATTCCATCCCTGTGGTATCGATATTATGGACTATTATACACAGCCTTCTTCAAGTACACCGACACGCACGACAGCCAGATGCTGTAAAGCAGCCTCCGCCTCCCAGACAAACAGAAGAAGATGCCGCATGGCTACATTGCAATTTCCCACGCGAGTTGTCTCCGATCCAAGTTTTGTCTGCCAAATAAATAAACAAAAACATAAACAGCGAATTTGGGAGCCGCTTCACAGCCCAACTTAATTAGCATACCAAGTCCGACACATAGTTGTATATTCACGCTTATGTGCTTAAAGGAAACTCCCGTTTATTGCAACCCGGACTTAATTTCTAGCATGCAGTACGTTTGTTTACTCACGCTGACAACTTTGGTGCTACTTGGATTCCCCGGGGTATTTAGATCATTGGCGAATCGCCATCAGTGTATATCCATATAACGGGTGCGGACGGGCACCCATGGTGCAGCCTCGAAATAAGACATTATCTGCACCAAAACATCTTCATGTCGAAAGGTTTTGTTAGGAATCATTAACGTGATCCCCCTGTTCGTTTGGAGCGGGTCTGGTCTGGGATTTCTAGGCGTAAACAGACTAGCTGCGGCTAATCTAACCGGCGCTTTTAATGACGTCACTGCCGTGCGCCAGTCTGTTTTTATTAAGATTACTGGTAGATGTACCTTTGTCCTACTGTGGAGAAATTCGTTTTCTCCCTTTATTGACCAACAGAGTTGTTCAAAAGTACAGAACAAAACATATCTCATTACATCTTATGACAAAAATGCACCTTAAACAGAGTTTAAGCAGCAAAACATCACTGTGCAAATAGTGTATATATAGTGAGACAATTCATGATTTAAAGTGTTAACTTTCACCAGTTTTTGTATGCACGTTTTAAAAAATGCTGATACTTGAAAGGTTTAAGCACTTTATACACTTAATTCTTAACATTTAATTTTTGTAATATAAATTGAGGAATGTTATTTTTTTAATAAACTTGTTCGATAAATGGGTGTTTTTGTAAATAGTATCGAAATCGAGTATCGAGTATTTTTTCAAGTATCGAATCGAGTTTGAAATTTTAGTATCGTGACAACCCTAGTCAGAAGTCCCACCCACCCGAAAGGGTTGTGTCCGAATTGCAACCAAAAACTCAGGGATTGCAAAGGAGAAAGCCAGACAGTGTAAGTGCAAATCTGGTAGTGAGAGCAAAGCTGTGAGCAGCGAGAACGAAACTAAGGAAACTGAACAAAAACACATAGACGCAGACAGAAAAAGGAAACATACTTTGTTACTCATTTTAAGAAGTTGACTCATATAGTAAGTTTTTCTTTTGAAACAATTTTTTTCTCTCTCAATGTCTTAATATTTGTTTGATCTTCAAAGTGTTTTTCTTGATCCTATTAGCACAAATCTAATCTGATAAATATGAATAAGTTAAAACAAGTTATTAAAGTTAGATGTTCATATTGTTTATTTTTCACCTACCGGTGACTCCACCATATTGATTAACGTGAACAGTGGCAGAACCACATCTGATGTTACAGGTTTATTCACAAATGCAGTGAATTTCTGTTTATGAAACAAAAAAAATGTTGAGGGTTTAAATGACAATGAGGCAAGCACAAATAAAACATTAATATAATCCATATCCTTTAGGATCTTAACATAAATACAAAAACAGTTGTTTATATTTTAAACATACATGAATGTGAATCTTCATGCAACTAAATAAGACATATTGTTTAATTGAAATCAAACAGAATAGGAGTGTGTGTAGTCTTTATGCAATAAGTCAACATAAGCATTCTTTTTCTAAGGAGTCATTTTATTATGTATCAAACCTCAATGAGGCCAAAAACATAGTTAAATAAATGCAGAGCTGCAGCGCCATCATCTGGAGAAAAGGAGGTAAAAAGGTTTACATGAAAATGATGTAAATATATAAGCAGCGTTTCATTGGGTAAACTGCGCCCAGCATCTCATACAGATTTAGGCAGTTTTCAAACCTTTTTATTCACCCAAAGACACCACTAATTAAACATCAAGGACGCAAATGCCAGGAAGTAAGCATTGTTTTATAGCATTTTGGGAAAAATGTAGTTCATTATTAAGGATAAACTCGTGTTATGATTGAAAACTATATTAGATTCAACTTGGGGAAATATTTGTATGTATGTTTTTTAAATGTTTACTGAACATTTCTATTTTCTTTCGTTTTAACCATAAAATCTTTAGTACCATCATACATCAGCGATCTTCTCAGTCCCTACACCCCCAGCAGGTCCCTGAGGTCCAGTGACCAAAGCCTACTGGTTGTGTAGCGCACCAGGCTAAAGACCAAAGGTGACAAATCTTTTGCTGCTGTGGCCTCCAGACGCTGAGCCTGAGATCAGTGGACTCAGTGGTCTCCTTTAAAAAGCAGCTGAAAACTCACCTGTTCAAGCTGGCTTTTGTATGACCTTCTTTACCATTCTCACCTTATTCTACTCTCCTTACCTGTTCACCTTCCTCATGATCCACTGATTTCCCTCTCTCCTATTCACTCTCTTTCTTTACATTTTTTAATTGCAGTTGTTTATTTTTGCTTATTTTAACACTTTGATGCATGCATTATGAAATCTTCAACAATGATTGGTTGTCGTACTGGAACCTCATCTAATACCGGGATCTCATGAGTTATTACATTTGTGCATCCCACATCTAGATCTGTTTTAGCAAATACTCCCTTGTACTTATTTAAAAGTACCCTTGCTTGTTGTTTTTCTCCTTCATCTAGATGTTCAAAGCCAGGCAAATCCAGCTCTGTTTTGTTAAGACTAACATTCTGAGTTACCATAAATGTTGTGCAGCTATGTGCATCAACCATCACCCGTACACACGGATCATCCTCCAGCACAGCACCAGCTGTCTGCACCGTGGCAATGACCCTACGTGGTGTTAACCATACATCTGTTGTGCCCACATTAGTGACTGGGACATAAGCTCGACCCTGATATGCCCTTACCAAGGAAGGTGAAACCAACAATCCTTCAGGCAGACTATTGTACTCAGGCCCAAGAGGTTCAACCATAAGGTATATAGACTGGTGCAAAGGTGTCTCGGGACAGTAAACTGGGACATAGCTTAAACTACCCGCCGAGATGCAAAAAGACTCCTTACCCTGTACTCCCACTAGGTAGGGATCTGGAGAACTGGCCATGCTCTCCATTATCTGGCAGTAACTTAGCACCTTCCTCAACCCCGGTGGCGCTGACTTAATGACTGCTGCTTCCCAGAGGTCATTGCCAAGGTGCCTGTGTAGTTTAGAGTACAAAAGACTAAGCACATTCATCCCCAACACTCCTGGAACAGCAGCTTTCTTCTTTTTCATATTATCAGTTGGATCCTTAAGAATCAGGGGAGAGGCACACCAAAAACAGTTACATCCAACTCGATATAGCCTAGATAAGGGATATTTAACCCATTAGCAGCTTTTAATCCGATCCACCCACAATCCCTTAAACCCTCTTCAGACAAATGGCAAAAGTTATTGTTGAAAAAACACTCAGTCACTGTGGTAACCACACTGCCACAGATTATTTTAATTTTCCTCAGGATTTAGAAAATACAGTATGTCTTTTGTACAAATTAACGCATTTTATAAAAGTCAATACAAAAGTTCATGATCAAAAATGCCTCTTTTATTTTGAAAAAAAAATTGTCAAAATAAAAACTCTCACTTTAGTTACTTTCTCTAGTTTCATTATATTCCGTAAATGTATCTTATGAATTAATTCACTTGCCTTTAGAAACAATTTTTATGCTAAATTTATTTATTTAAATACTTCTGTAGTCATTCAGCAACATGTAAAAATGCAAGTAGGAACCAAGAAGCATGGTCTTTGTTGCGCCGGAGCAAATATGAACGTTTGGCGGAATTTGCTATTCACGACATCACTACGCACAATTCTCTACATACTGCGCTCATGATTCACATGTGTTCGTGTCTGTGCGTTACAGCCGCTGCTACGTAAAGTGCGTAATTTCATTCATAACAGAAGAGCTGGTCGTCTGTTGCTGGGCGGAGGTAACTGTTCCCTCTTTTATCCGAATTTCATTTAAGGGAATATTCTATAAAAAAATATGTTTTTACTAAATAAACAGCTTAAGTGAATGATACATATCGGAAGTGAAACCGTAATGGGTGTGGAAAACGTTCAAACTAGCGTGTTAAAGCTAACGTATCTAGCGCATCCTGAGTTTAACACCCATTCCCATACTAATGAACGTATTTAATTTTCTTACAGGACAGTTGTTGAGAGTTTTATAGTGAAAAAGAAAATAAAGCGGTAAAATGGCGAAACGAAGGATCACACAAGAAACGTTTGATGCTGCTGTCCGCGAAAACATGGAGGAGTTTGAGATGGATCCAGACGAGGCTCTTAACGATGCAGTGGAGCAGTTTGAGTCACAAGGTAAACGCCCCAGAAGGTTAAGTATGATGTATAGCCAGGAAAACGTAAATAAACACAGAGTTTGGGCGGTAAAAAGAAAATCTTTAAAAATGGTCTTGATCAGTAGTTCTTTTGGCTTACTGGAGGGCTTTTCAAAATTGTTGGGCTTTGGCATTCCCCCCCCCCCCCCCCCATTTTTACTTCAATCTTTCGACTTGAACATGCAGAATTGCGTAGATTGTCTGCTAAAATTGCATACCAGTTGGTGACTAAACAAGAAGTGTCTAAATAAAATTATCTAAAGATGATCAACATTATCTGGAAGTCGTGTTCCAGATACAACTTGTCCTACTTGGAAAGTAATCCAAGAAGGACATTACACAATCCGAATGCCGAATCTTCCATCAATTGATCATCAGTTACCTAAACGCCTAAAACATTTCATAATAATTTTGTAATGTTAAATGAAAACTTGGTTAAGTTTATACTCAGGCATCAAGTAGAGAGAATCTGTCATTTCTTTCAAAATAAGGACACAGAAGTAATACAAGGACACTCTGCAACCAATATTTGTGTCAACAACAAAAATGAAAGATGAATAAACAACCGATATGAGACAGAAAACAAACACAAGTAAACAGAAAATTATAACAAACAATATAGAATGATGTAAAATGTCCACGTGATACTAATGACTGTAGAACACAATTGCAGACACAGATTTTGTTTGCTTATAAGGTTTTTCAATTTGGATTCCTTTCTTATGGTTACAATGAGAAAGGGGTTTTTGCTTGATCTCTTTTTAGGATGTTTATGTGCCTTTAAACTGTAGGATAATTCATGAAAACAATAATTTCTAATTGTTTATAAAGTGCCTTTCACAGTGTGAGTCAGAGCTCTAATCTTTATATTATCTTTATATTACACAGGTGTAGATCTCAGTTGTATAGTCAAAGCTGTACCAGCTACATCAACTGATGTCAGTCAAGAGGACCAAGCACATGAAGTCTTAAAGGTGAGTCCTAAGTAGTTTCAAAAGAGGAACAGTCGGTTGTCTAAATGTCTGTACGCTTACTTTATTTCTCGCCTGCAGGCTTTAGATTCTCTCAGAATTGGAAAAGACTCTGCTCCCATACCAGATGTGACAGCAGACATGATAAACTTCACTGAGCAGTGCTCACTTGGATTTGCACAGAGGTACCTTGCTGCTCAGAAAGATGCCTATCCCGTCATCCTCTCTTACTGCAAGAGGAGTGTGGAGGAGCAGGGTGCAGCGTTGGCTGCTCTGTCTGCTCTGGCTTCACTGACAGATGGACAGCCAGACCTGCTGGATGCAGAGGGACAGCAGTTTCTTTTGGATGTCTTTAAGAAGTACCAGGCAGATTCCTCGGTGATGTGTGTCGCCATCTGTGTGGTGCGTCAGTGCTGCTTGAAGCACGAACAGAACAGGCAGGACCTGGTGAAAGGTGGCGTGCTGCCGCTGTTGACCAGCGCCATTACGCGTCACAGCGGATGTGCTGAGCTGATCAAGCAGGCTTCGTCGACTCTCAGGGTCATGACTTTTGATGATGATGTTCGAGTTACATTCGGGCATGCTCATGAACATGCTAAGAGTATTGTCCTTGAGCACAATGGACTGAAAGTTTTAGTTGAGGCTGCAAAAGGTAAAACCTGCTGCAGATCAGCAAATATTTTTGGCACAATTGATGAATGCAGTGAGTTTATTTCATGTCTTCTTAACAGCTCATCCTAACAACACTTCTGTTCTAAGTGAGCTGTGTGCTACGTTATCCCGCCTGGCTGTCCGGAACGAGTTTTGTCAAGACATATGTGATCTGGGTGGATTAAAACTCATGATGACTCTGCTCGCAGACAGCTACGAGTCAGCGGTAGTGTACAAGAAAATAAAAATTTATGATGCACACAGATAAGAAACACACCTTTTTCTACTCACTGAATTACTTTTGTCTTGCAGGAATTAGTTCGGCAGGTCTTAAGTGCAATAAGAGCCATAGCAGGAAACGATGATGTGAAGGATGCTGTTGTTAACGCTGGTGGCGTCGAGGTCATTGTCATTGCTATGAACGGACACACGAGCAGCCCCACTGTGAGTTGTCATGTCTAAATTCTCGTGAATCGTGTTTCTCGTTATTTACCTTCGGACATTACATCCAAATAGTTTTGTCTGACGCGATTTTCGTGTAACATTCTGCAGGTGTGTGAGCAGGGATGTGCCTGCTTGTCTGTTCTTGCCTTACGTAAACCAAACAACTGCAAGGTCATCATGGAAAGCGGAGGCGCCTTGGCCGCTGTGCAGGCCATGAAGGCTCATCCTGATGCAATCAATGTACAGGTAACATGGAATAATCATAAAAAGAATACAAAGAAAGAGGTCATACCACTGTGTTTTCATGTATGTTCTCTCTTTTACATAAACAGAAACAAGCATGCATGCTGTTGAGAAATCTGGTCGCACGGATGCGTAACTACAGCCAGCCAATATTGGAGATGGGGGCAGAGGCACTGATAGTTCAGGCAGTACAGAACCATCAGGACTGTGGGGATGTGGGTAAAGCGGCCCTCAGAGATCTGGGATGCAAGGTGGAACTTCGAGAGCTGTGGACTGGCAAACATGGCAGCCTTGCTCGCTGAGAGTGGAGCTGAGTGTCACCATAAAACACACAAGTAGAAAATCACTTATGTAACGGTCTAGCTGTAGATATTTATGTGTCTCATCAAAAGGAGCATCTTCACTGTCACAAAAGCCTCAAGAGGATGAAATGAGTCCAATCAAATGCAAACATGTTTTAAATTTAAACATCTACAACATTTTTTTTAAATAAATCCATTTGTGTGATTCCAGTTAATCTGTGCCACATTGTGGGAATTCTTTTAACCAGACCAAATTTAACATGTATTAAATGCCTTATTTTTACTGATTTTGTTAGTTTTTGTTTTTCATTTATGGTTGAATTTTATTTAAATAGTAAAATTCTGACAACAATCATGGACGGCCCACAGTAAACAACATTAAACCAAACTGAGGTGATTGAAATTTTTTGGACAAAAAAAAATCTGCATAAATCAGACGCGAGAATCATTCCTGAAACTTCATGAAACTAAAATATGTCTGGTTAAATCATGGGTAGGTCTGGTGCCTATCTCCAGCGGTCAATGGGATGGATATATATATATATATATATATATATATATATATATATATATATATATATATATATATATATATATAAATTTCTTATTCCACCACAAGGTTTCCACCCGCACCAAAGAGCAGACATGAAAAAGATAAGTATTAAACTATTGTAGGGGGTCCGAGGGCATGCGCCCCAGAAGAAAATTTTGGACATTTTATAAGCATCAGTCTGGTGCATTTTGGGAAAAAATGTAGAGTTACAGGTAAGAATGTATAATAAAGTATCTTTACATGTTCATGGCATAATTTATTTGATTGATTATTTCTCCTGTCCTGTCTAATCCATTTTGATTAAAGCAAAATCCTCTGATGCATCCATGCTGCTCAGTACCAGAACTGCATGATGTCACTAGTTACTAGTTACAGCTGGCAAAAATGCTGTTGAATGTGTGAGTGTGCAGAACTTGCAAAACTATGAGACTCAATTTAAGGAACAAAGTAGAATCCAGCTGCTGTTATTTATTTGTTGTTGATGTTTATAGAAACTAAATATATCTGCAGCGCTTTAGGCCCAGGACAGTTTTGTAGACAAAACCATATCCAGACCTGTTATTATTAATATCACGTGTCCTTTACACCAATCAGAATATTCTGTAATGTTCACAGACATCCAAACTTTAGAAATGAAATAAAATCAATATAAAAAAATTAAAAATGTGTAATCTGTGAACACTATATTTGATATTGTCCAGTTTAAGCAGACATCTGCTTATTTATATCAGAGCCAGTGGCAGATTTAGCAATTTGGGGGCCCAAGGCGAACACCGATATGGGGCACCCTTACACTAAATTTTCCACGATCTTACCTTTAACTGGATTTGCGAAACTCTCCCCTCTTCTTCCATGAGTTACAGATCCTGGAGATTACATTTGTAAAGACGGAGAAAAGGGTAATGCTTCCAGAAACTGATAATTAAGTAAATGCACAAAATGAAAATTATGTTTTTAAATAAGATTGTCCTCAAATAAAACACTTGAAGTTTTGTTCACAAGGAAGATCTGAAATAGGTTTTTCTGCAGAACTTTTGCTGTTGGGTCATTCTGTCAAATCTTCTTTTACCTTCTTGCTTTGTTACTTTCATCTCCTTCTGCCTCTTTCTTCTTCCATTTATTCTAAATCTATAGATGTCTGCCTTTCACTCATGTCAGTGCATCCTGTTCTCTTTTCAAGGTTTCTTTATTTTCCCTTTTTATTAGTCCTCGTCTTTTTCCTGTATTTCCCTCCCTTTGAGTGCTTTCAGTATTTGCTCTGCTTTCTTCTTCCTGTCGGTGCTCCTGTGCATTTGCCTTTGTTTTGTTTTTCCTATTTGGTCCATGTTTTCCTCCCTTTAAACCTTTTCCATTGTCTTTCCTTTCTGCTTCCTTTTGATGTTTCCTGACTCCATTCTTCCTCTTTTTTTCCAATTCCATACATACTTATCCCCCTTATATTTTTCTTTGTTTCTCTTTTTTTGGAGTTAATGTGTTTTTCATTCCCTAAATCATTTCCTTTCTCTCTTTGAAATACTCTTTCATCTTTAAGTCTTGTCATTCTCTCGTTTTGATACTGGTTAGGCATTAGGCCTTGCCCAGAGGTAACTCCGCCACTGATCAGAGCTGAGCTGTGGGAGAAAATATTCAGGCTTATTTAATAATTTTCCATCACCTGTGGGTTTAGTGCATTCCCTTAATATTAAGTATAAAATTATAAATAACAGGTCATGACAGTTTGGGCAAAGAAAGTGTTTCTAGGAACTAAAGCTTGTTGGGTTAGGGTTAAGAGCAGCGCACCTGTTCCACTGACAGGAGAAATCCTCTCATCAGCAGCAGCTGATCAACAGAGTAACACCGGCCCTCAAACCAAGCCACCGAGAATTTCCCTGGTCGGGGCCTGGTTCCGCCCGCTGCTCCCCTTAGACAGGAGCTGGTCATCTTGTTAATGCGACACCAGAGCTTGGCTCCGTTGGCGCTCATTAGTGCGACTATAGATTCTACAAAGTTTTCATAAATAAACACAACTTAGATTTGTTGCTTAAATAAAACCAAAACCAGAGCTCACTGCATGAGTGAGCTTGTAATGAGCTCGCACATTTTTGCCGCTTGCGGTGCGGAGCGGTGGGGAAATGCGTGTCATCAATGGAACTGACCAGAATACTGACGTAACACCGGAGAGCAAAGGTGTGGGTTTTAATTAGCAACAGGAGAGGGAGGGGGAGAAGGCAAGCACAGTGACAGAAATACAAAGGGACCAGACTGATACTAAAGTTTTTGAGCTAAACTGCGGGAAGAATGTGTGTGTTCAACATCCTCGTTGGAAAAAGTGTGGGTACACCCACATTCCCCATGGGTGCGACGCCCATGCCAGCCATCCCCGTGCTTCATTATTGGAAGCATTTCTCTGTGTACAATTAAACAGAAGACGTCTGGCAGGCCAGGCAAAAAGTGAACAACTTTCATGAAAAAAGTACATACTTTTAGAAAAGGAACTTAAGCCCTTTCCCACGCATCAATGAATTGTGAATAATAATAATAATAATACATTTTATTTATAATGCACTTATTCATTTACAAAAGAAATCCCAAAGTTTTACAAGGTTAAGAGATTAAAAGAAAAACAACTCCTAAGGGTAGATAAAAACACATCCATTACAGCAGAAAACAAGCTATATATAAAAGGACAGCACAATATAACAGGTCACACAATAGGTCATAAAAATGGCTCTGAAAGGCCTTGCTAAAAAAAATATCTTAAGATGTTTTTTGAAAGCCACAGATTGTTGGACCCTTAGAGACTCAGGGAGAGAATTCCATTGTTGAGGGGCCACTGCCACGAAGGACTTGTCTCCCATGGTGGAGAGTTTTGTCTGTGGTTGGTGCAGGTGGTGAGAAGAGGCAGAAGAGCAGAGGTTTCTTGTAGCAGTGTGTGGAGAAAGAAGTTTGCTCAGATAGACAGGGGCAGTTCTATGAATGCACTGGAAGGCAAGAAGGCGAATTTTGTACTGAATTCTATATTGAATAGGCAGCCATGAAGGATCTCGGAAGGGGAGTGATATGATCATATTTACGCTTTCTCGTCGGGACCCAGACAGCAGAGTTCTGAATGTACTGGAGCTTTTATAGACTCTTGCCAGGGGTCTCAACGAGGAGGGCATTGCAATAGTCCAACCTAGAGGAGGTGAATGCATGGATTAAGTTCTCTGCATCTGTCTGAGTAAGAGAAGGACGAAGTTTGGCAATGTTTTTGAGGTGAAGAAAGGAGACCTTGCAGAGGTGACGAATGTGGGTTTTCAAATGTGAGATTAGAATCTAGTCTGATTCCAAGGTTTGTTATAGAAGAGGAAAGGAGAATGTCATGTCCAAAAAGGGGGATACTGCTAAGGGGAAAAGACTGTATTTGATGTGGAGTGCCAATAATGATAGCTTCAGTTTTATTGCTATCTAACTGTAGAAAGTTTTTAGCCATCAATGCCTTAATCTCCTCCAGGCAAGCCTGAAGAGCAGATGGGAGGGCTGTAGTTATTGTGGAGTCCATTTTCATGTATAACTGAGTGTCGTCTGCATAACCATGAAATGAAATATTGTGTTTATGGAGAATGTGTCCTGGCGGAAGCATGTAAATTGAGAAGAGGGTAGTCCCAAGAACAGATCCTTGTGGAACTACACAATTTACAGTGTGTGGGGATGACTGACTCTGTCCTAAGGCCACATATTCTGTTCTGCCTGTAAGATACTCCTAGTATCTTAAAGGCAATTTATTATTTGATGTGGTTACAGAAAGGTCAACCACCCTCTGGAGCCTATGGAGTAGAATGGTATGGTCCACAGTATCAAATGCAGCTGACATCGATGCAGACTTGGGTGAAGTGCGGATCAAGAGTGCAAAAGGTGCGTGATCAACTTCTGCACTTGAAAATCTGGACGCCCTATGCACAAGTATTGTGATTGGGCCTAAGGGTGTTTCTCAATGTCAAGGCGCCTGGCTTTGCAAGGTGATGTCTTGCTAGGCCAGGTGCCTTCCTTACAAGGACACTGTCCTTTCTTGGTCAAAGAAAAGGGATTAATAAAACATACTTACATCATGTGGTGTGATATATACCCATAACCTATAACCTTTCTCAGTGACCTAGTGGTAGAGTGTCCGCCCTGAGACTGGGAGATCAGGGGTTCGATTCCTGGTCGGGTCATACCAAAGACTTTGAAAAAATGGGACCCAATGCCTCCCTGCTTGACACTCAGCATTAAGGGGTTGGATTGGGGGATTAAACCACCAAATAGTTCCCGAGTGCGGCTGTGTCTGCAGCTCACCGCTCCCCCAGGGGATGGGTCAAATGCGGAGAACAAATTTTGCACACACACCTGTGTGTGTGACAACTAATGGGACTTTAACTTTAATATGAGGTAATGTTATTTTCATGAGCTGAACTCAAACATCTGAAACTTTTTCTACATGCACAAAACACCCGTGACTCTCAAATATTGTTCTGAAATCTGTCTACATGTGTGTTAGTGAGCACTTTTCCTTTACCAAGATAATCCATCCCACCTCACAGGTTTGGCATATCAAGGGGCTGATTAGGCAGCATGAATAATGTACAGGTGTGCCTTAGACTTTATTGATCCCACAGTTGAGAAATTCACTTGTTACAGCAGCACCAACACTTAAGAGAATAATTTGAAGATAAATAATAACAAAGGTACATGTATTTATACACATAGGTGGTAATCTAGTATTGTAGCCTTCTGCGATTGTTACCGGGCACCGTGGCCTTAAATTATATCAGCTCTTGCTACATGGTCGGAGATAAGCGGGACACTAGCTACATGCTAACCCAAAGCTAACAGAGTTTTTCTAGCTGTTTTGAGCAAGAAAAAATTTGGTAGAGCGACTCCAATCTTTAGGCACCTCCAGCCTGCTTAGTATCGAAATCATAACTAGGTAGATATTCGGGCTTCGTTGGTCCACTGCGGTGAAAGATCTGCGTGTCCGCCGTTGTTGAAGTTCCCTTCTCTGGGAGCCGGAGATCAGCGGGACACTAGCTACATACTAACCCAAAGCTAACAGAGTTTTTTTGGGTGTTTTCAGCTAGAAAAATGCGGTTGAGCGTCTCAAAAGTGAAGCAGCTTCAACAAAAAGAGTTGCGGTGTTTCTGTGGTCTCCCTCAGAAATCCAGCATGATTACAGCCTCGCTTTGGAGCTGGCCCGGCTGCCTCGGGAAACGGGAACTGCAACTGCCTGCTATTCTCATACAGGAAAAGTTGGGCACCCGCTCAAGTTTCTTATACAGCACCACTAACATGTTTGACAAAGCAGTTAATTTCCCCCCATTCATCCAGCAAGATAAAGTACAGAAATATAAATTTACTTAATGATAAAAAGAAGCAGAAGCTGCTTGGATGGTCTGATAGTAACCACAGTTTGCCCTTTTGTCCAAATAATTCCATGATTAACATCCAAACACAAACACACAGACAAAACTAAAGTTCAGAGAGTCGAAAGGGTCAAACATCTATTAATGTGAGGCCAAGGCCCAGGCTGAGGTCACTAGGATTCTCATTAATTATTCAGATTTTAAAGAATTAAATTTCAATGAGGATTTGCTCTCTTCTGTTGCCAGACCCTAGTGGATGAGGATGGAACTGCAATGTTCGCCACTTCCTTGCTGGCTTTATATCTGCTGCAGAATTAACAGGGCTTGGTTCCAACACTAAGCAGCATACTGCAAGAGACACAGACATGCAATGAGAATCTGGTTTTGTACGAGTATTGAACACATAATGAATATTGCATTGGTGTTATTGTGTAACAGGATAATGCCAGTAAAACTTAAACTGAGTAGTTATACACTCGTACTGCAGAGGGGATGAAAGATCAACTGTAGCGTTCTGTTTTAAATCTGGGATGTCTTAGTCTGCCTCTGAAGTAGCTTTCCATTGTTTCCACAGTGGAATGCAGTGGGTGGGAGGGTTTTTTCCAGATGGTGTTTCGCCATCCTTTTGAAAATACCACACTGTATTCTGGAAAATTTTTGACCAACGCCAGGCTTCAAAGGCATCCTTGCTCATCTAGCTAAATGGCTAACCAACAGAGAACAGACGCCTCTGTAGAACAAAAACATTGGAACACGCCTTGGTGGTTCTTGATGTTGTATCGCCTAGGCAACGGGGGTGGGACCAAGATAACAAGGCATGTTTCCTTGGCAATGTCAAGGCGCCTTGCCTTGCGAGGCGATGTCTTGCGAAGCCAGGCGCCTTGCTTACAAGGACACTGTCCTTCCTTGGTAAAAGAAAACGGTTAAATGGAACAGACTTGCATCACGTGACCACGGCTTCCACGGCGGTCACGTAACGTCACGTGACACGGGAGATAACATTATATTTTATATGTATATAACAGCCTTTTACTTTTTAAATTGTGTATATACTTATCTAATTAAAAATATAAGTGAGTTACTATCCGCTAGCCTCCGAAGCTGCAACTACTAAGCAACCAACCAACAATAGATAACTTCTTTGGATCTAAAAAAATTTTTTAAATTAGCTGACTTACTTTTAAACTTGAAAATTGTCCCCGAAGTAGCTGCCGGCTTCTGATCCGCCGTCCTTTTGAAAATACCGTGGTATATTGTGGGTAATTTTTGGCCAAGGCTAGGCTACAAGACACCTCCCGTGTGTCCTTGCTCAGCTAGCTAAATGGCTAACAAACGGAGAACAAATACCTCGGTAGAACATGAACATCAGAACCGAATGGAACACGTCTTGGCAGCTCCTGATGACGTATCTCCTAGGCAACCGGGGCGGGGCCAAGACATCAAGGCAAGCTTCCTTGGCATTGAGAATCACCCCATGTTTCCTTCTGGCTGGCTTGGGGTCCTGTGCCTGTTGATGACTTCACACTAGATGACTGGCTGGACGTACAACCTCCGGTAGTTAAGTTACCATGTTCAAAAACATTTAGGTATTAAGGAACACAAAGTTACTAACAAAACTACTAAACTCTTTCCAAAACATATGTGAAATAACAGAATTAAAAAATGCAATATATTTTAGTTGAGCTGTATTGCCATAGGATGATGATGTAATCAACAGGTGCAGGACCTCGAGCAGATCTAAACTACAACGCCAGAAAACTACAATCGGTATTGCATTCTTTCAATGGAATTAACTGAAGGACCATTAATGTCTGAGAAGTCACGCTGAAATTGCAGACTTTCTGTTCCACAGGTAACAGCATTTACCGTACTGTTTTTTTAAACTAGCGGCACTCACGGCAATATGGTGTAAAACTACCCTGAAATGTTTGTACTACTCCCTAGTGCCGGGAAACTACACACTGCCACTTTAAACAGTGTAATCTTTTTTCAGACTTTCATTGTTTACTGAAAAAAACATTTAAAAATAATTTATAGAGAATATTAAACATTTAATAAAAGGTTATCCAACATCAAAAACAATTTCAGGCGATTCATTTCTCCAAACGTTTTGGTAGTATGAAGATCATACTCCATCTACTCAGTATGTTATCAAATAATATTAAGGTATATTCTTCTGTAGAATATACTTTAATATTACTCTTTTTATTTTATGTAGAAATTCTACATGAAAAACAAATTCGTTTGTTAAGATAGCTGCCAGGTTTTGACCCCATTCACGCCCCTCCAACGGACCAAACAGGTTCCATTTCATTGAGACTCAATTTCCCACAATGCAACTGTGCTCTTGTCCTTGTCAAGCTAGCGCAAGCTGCCTCGGCTTGCTGACAGGAGTAGCAACCCCCTGACATAAAAAGGCATGTAAGGTAGTGTCTCGTACACGAAGACACTGCTGGGCGGTTAGGTTAGAGAAAATATGTGAAAAATAGCACCTTTAACAGCCCGACATTTTTTATGTCAACATTTCGTTTCACGGTTTTTAAATTAGCGCTACGCTGTTGACAGGAGAGTAACACTGAAGGTTTTGTAGCGATAAGCTAACAGCTAGCTTACGTTACACCAGCTGGCTAAGTTTGAAATATCTGAAGACTCTACTGACGAGTCTGAATAACACACTAAGAGAGCTGTACCAGAAGCTAAGAAATCTTGGAGCTGGTGTCAGGATCACCAGGTAAGAAGTTATTTAAATCTATTAAAGGCTGCAAAGATTGTGAAAGAACGGTACTTTTAAAACAAGCACCAAACTGGGAAGAAAAAGGGCATTCATGATAGCACATCTGATTATTCTGGAATACGGTTGAGTAATTATTCCGCAGTTTAGATATTATGAGCTAAACTTTTTATGCAACTTTTGACAATCTTAAACTTTAAACTTCAGACAATGAATTAACCGAGCTGGTCACAGAAGGCACAGAACATTATTTTCTAGATGAACCTTTAAAACGCACAGGGCTCAGACTGGAGTGTGTTATGTAAGGAAAGTGGGGACTGATTGTGTGAGGAGGAAGAATGAGGGTTTAAAGAGGCCAAACTTGGGAGCTGAGTGCACATTTCAGTATTTGTTGCACTGCGTCCAGAGTTAGTTGCCCTGACAACTGCTTTTTAGGAGCTGCTCTGCTTGGACACTAGTCTCAAAAGCACGTCTTGTTTTTTATTCCCATTTTTATTTTATACAAACAGCAAAAAAATGAAGCATCCAGTAAACCAGTTTGTAGATTCTCAGATGTGCTGCATTTCTCAAAATCCCTTTTCCTTTTTGGACCTTTATGTTGCTTTTTTTTTTTTTTGCACCAAAACTTATTTCTGGTAAAACATCCGAACATCTGCTGTTTAGACACAGTGGTCTTGAAATAACCTAGATTTTACTAGTGTAACAAAGAACTCACTTTAAAAACTGCTGCTCCTCCTTTACTGGGAGTTTCAGCTCATTGAATTCCTGGCTGGCCCATTCCAAACACCTGATGGGCCATTCCCATCTGTACCTGGTCCGTCCTGCCCGGATAGCTCCAGTCGGCCCCAGCCTGGCCCAGTTGATTCCACACATCCTTGCTTAGGTATGCAAGGAATGCAGTCAGACATTTTCAGCTTCTAGGTAGTCAGCATGATAATGAATGATAATGAATTGAGCATGCCTAAAGGTTGATTTATGCTTGGCGCGTCCGCGAGGTCCGCACGGCTCCGCGCGGAAAAGTTGCGTCATTTTAACAACCACGCCCCTCCACCGCGTCTCCGCACGGCCCAAAATTTCCGCAATGCGCACCTAGGAAATTTTCTAACCACGCGGACGGTCGGACTCGGAAAAACATGGCGGACCGGCAAGAACTAGTATGGCAGAGGTTCGTAAATACAGACATTTGTATGATTCAGCTCTCAGAGATCACCGTGATCAACATGTTGTTAATAATTCTTGGAGAGAAATAACTCGCACTGTTGGAAAAGACGAGAACGCTGTTAAAAATGCTGAAATGCCATGTTGTAAACAACAGTTTTTACTTCTACTATGGTGTAGTGTTGGATGCATGCCATAGAGCTCCATGCTGCCCCGTTCAGTTTGGGAGAATATTGGCTCACCGCAGAGATGAGCCGCATGAACCACAAACGCTGCGAGTTGTGAAGCGCGTTCCATCCGCGAGCCGCATCACCAAGCGGAAAGTGAATGCATCAAGCATAAACCAAGCTATGTGGGCTGATTCGACCCACCAATCAGAGGCTTGCTGTAATGGAAGGCGTGAATTTGCTGTCAGCAGTGGGTGTGTTGGCCCTGGTCAGCCTGAAGCAGACCACCTCAGAAAGAGGGCTGAAAAACAGTCTTGTTGCACCCTGAAAAAAGGCAGGCCACCAAGATATGTAATGGGCCATTCCCATCTGTACCGGGTCGGCCCGGGCCGGGTAGCAAGCTATGCTATCCGGGCCGGGCCGACCAGGTACAGATGGGAATGGCCCATTAGTCGTTGCTTTTTTTTCAGGGTTTTGGTGCCAAGAGTGATCTCTATGCCACCAGCTCACTCAGCCACAAAGAATAATCAGTCTTAGTTCAACATTAAAAGATCCTGCAAATGGGACAGCTTTTCAGAAAGCACATTTAATGACAGCGAATCAGACAGCTTTATGCCTTCTTTGTGTTTTGCTGTTTTGCTCTGCGGGGTCATGCTGCAAAATCATCAGAGTTGGACGTTATGCATTAGAAAAATTCATACACATGCCTGTGACTGTATGTGGGGATAGCTCAGAGCTAGGATGCCCCAGAATTTAACAGTTAGCCATTGTAGCGGTCAAAGGTTGCATGAATGGTTGGTCTGTGTGATGAGATGATTAGCTCACATGAAAGCATGAAGATGCTTTTGTTTCTTAAAGAAATGAGATCAACTCTTTCTAATCCTGATTAGATGATTGTTCTGATTGTGAGAGCGCTTCAGAAACTGAAATCTGATATGCCAACAAGGAAGGTGTCTGAGTAGGTCTCATGTCAGTCAGAAGAACACCTTTTACCTACTAACTCTGTTTTATCCTTAAGAGGAGCATTTGGTGTCTTTAACTGAGTATTTTTATATTTGTGTCAGTTAAAGAGGGAATGGCTATGAGGATTAGTCTTTAGTTAGCTGTTCTGTTGCAGTTTTTCTTTTAACCCTTTGATGCATAATGGTCACTACAGTGGACAGGTACTCAAAATTGTTATTTATTTATTTCTGCTATTAAACACAGCTGTTGAAGACTTTATTGCATGCGAGCCCCTCCATTTGAGTTTCAGCAAGCCAACACATTTCATGTTCAGAATGCACGCTGTCCACTGAGATGGACATGTAATAAATTATTTGTAAATTAACAAAATGTTACAAAAAATATTTGTTGAAATTTGTTTCATTCACATCTAAAGATGAATGAAAAAAATTGTTTAAAAAATCATGGTTGAAGATTTCATAATTCATGCATCAAAGTGTTAAAGAAATTCACAGTAATGTTATGCTGATGCATTTGCCTGAAGGAAAAAATGAACACTAAACAGATCTGTGTTGCTGTGACATGATGCAAAATCAGATTTGTTCACATGAAAGTCTGTCTGGTTATCGTTGTCTGTTCTGAGACCTGCAGCAGGATAAGCGTACCAGGCATACAGCATGATGTTTGTTTTATACTTAGCCTGATGTAAAAATGGACCCTCTTTCATATTTGTTTTTATTTCTCAGGTTGTGGTGGTACTACCCCACCCCCCATGGGGATGGGAAGTGGAGTCCAGGAGCAACGGGCCTCACTGACCCAGGGAGAAGTGCTGCCGCTGACTTCCTCCAGTCAGCCAAATGGCAAATATGAGGTCTAGTGCATTTTTAAGTTCACCATCTTTGTCGGCATTTTCTTGTATGAACTCAAATTAGTTAACATCTCATTTATTTATTTATATATAAACTCAAATTGATGTCCTAGGCCACTCAAAGTTACTCCAAGGGCCAGCCCATGAACCGTACTTTGGACACCTCGGCCTTTATCTGCCCAGTGTTGATTTACCAGAAAACATCCTCATACTTGATACTTTTGGTTTTATTCTGTTTGGCTGTGTGACTTTTTTGTGTTTCAGAAGTTTATTGGAAACCTTTTGACATTTAGATGCATTTGACAGAATTACTGTGGTTCAATAAAATCCTCTTTTTGGGAGTTCACTTGTATGATTCTCACAACGCCATCACGCTAATGAATCCAAAGCAACGGTGTAACATTATTACCTTTAAGAAACCAGGCACGTTAAAGTTAAAGTCCCATTAGTCATCACACACTGGAGACATTCATCTCCGCATTTGACCCATCCTTGAACCTTGGAGCTATTTGGTGGTTTAACCCCCCCAACCTCACCCCTTAAAGTGTCAAGCAGGGAGACATTGGGTCCTGTTTTTAGTCTTTGGTATGACTCAACTGGGATTTGAACCCTGATCTCCCAGGGTGGACACTCTACCACTAGGCCACTGAGTAGGTGATTGTCATTATTTCCATTTTTTTTTTTGCAGATCCATAGAGACGTAGGTTTTTTAAATTACCCTCATGTACCTCTGGCTTAATGATCAACATGTTCTCAAGCACACCTCTGTTCTAATCCCAGTTTCCTGCTGGTAGTCTTTACTGTGTTTTTTTAATTTTTTTGTGAACACACAGGGCACAAGACACACTCGATCTGTCCTCAACTCACTTTTCTCTGGGGCTTTAGCAGGAGCTGTGGCTAAGACGGCCGTTGCTCCTTTGGACAGAACTAAAATCATCTTTCAAGGTAAGCAGGATGCTCTGCTGATCTACATGTGGCTCACCCGTGACCTGATTTAATCTCACAGAGCTCAAATCCTTCAAAGAATACGACATGATCATTATTTATGTTGTTTGTTTATTCATTTTAGTGTCTTCAGCGAGATTCTCTGCCAAGGTGAGTTGGAGCACAAGGATAAAGTATTCAATTTGTCTGCAAGTGTGTTTATGTGTGTTTGCTGCCTTACAGGAAGCGTACAGGTTGATCTACCGTACCTACCTGAAGGATGGCTTATTCAGCTTGTGGAGGGGGAACTCTGCCACCATGGTGCGGGTCATCCCATACGCTGCCATCCAGTTCTGCGCTCATGAGGAGTACAAACGTCTGCTGGGAGGCTATTATGGCTTTCAGGGGAAGTAAGTGTACAAATTCCTCTTTTTGCTTGTTGATGAACATCTTGTTTATGTTGAGCTGTGGGTAAAACTGGTGTTTCTTTTGGTTATTGTTGCAGAGCGCTACCTCCAGTCCCCAGGTTGTTTGCTGGGTCTATGGCTGGCACCACGGCAGCAATGCTGACCTATCCGCTGGACATGGTGCGCGCAAGGATGGCTGTAACGCCAAAAGAAATGTAAATATTAACTGTTAGGGAATATTCATCATGCAAAGTATTTTTTTTTAGTCATCACTAGGGCTGCACGATATTAGGAAAACCTGCGATATTCGATAACAGTGCTTAATATTGCGATATCGATATTACTCGCGATAAATGAACAAACACTGAAGTATGCAGTGTTGATGTCGTCTGGCGTGTGACGTCTGCTCTGGGTTCAAAGCAAACAAAAACTAATGCATGAATTCCATTACAACATAACATTTTTATTGCAAAAATATGCAGCTGCACCTGCTACTGTATTAGCAGCAAAACAACAAACTGCATGCATGCAGTTTCTCAGTGACTTTAAAACATCACCACCACCATAAAACTTTTTCTGATGCTCCAAAAACAGAAAAACATCCCTTACCAGGGTTTTTTGAATAAATAAAAAAATCAGAAAATACGTTTAAATGTTAAATAATAGTTAACATCACTTAAATGCAACAGCAAATTCTCTCATTGCTACTGAGCATTTTCTCCACTTATGTGGTTATGATATAAGGCTGTTGCTGCAATTGGGAAGTGATCTGTGTTGGGCCAAACTAGGAGAATATTAAGATTTTCTGAGGGAAAGAGAAAAACAACTGTCTACCTTTCAGAAGAGGAACTGGCAAAAAAACGACATGGAAAATATGTGAAAACGTTTGTTTTTAACCCCAAATTGAACAAGTTTACCTAGATCTTAAAAAGCAGCTCAGATGATAAAACTGCAACTATGATTCTGATAACAAGCTAACAAATTGAACTAAGATAACCGGCTAGCAGAGCTTCTTCTGACTGACAGTTTATGTGCAGCAGCAAATCAACTATCCTGATTAACAAGGTTATAAAAGCTCTTAAAGGAAAAATCACTTTGATGTGTGGAGGAACTTTTCCAGGCCCTCTTTAGCAGGGTAGGACTGGGAGGAGAGTGCTGTAGACTTTTAGCTGGAAGCTAACCGGAGCCTGGGGCTAACATCACCACCCGGTGGAACACTAGCGACATGAAGGTGGGTTGGTTCACCGGCACATGTCGGAGTCAGCCCGGTTACTATCAGCTGCTTAACGACACCGAGCGGACTCACGTTCACGTTTGAAAGCAGCGCTGAATCCAGAAACCTCATCACAAAGTGCGTTCGTTGCTCTGAGCCAGCATGACCAACAAGGGAACGGCGCCGCTAACTCAGTTCGGGTGTTGCGTTCCACCCATCCTAAGGGTCTACGTAGGGGGCGGGCGTATTACGTGAACGGACCCATCCGATTGGCCGCATATCAGAAGGGCTACATTTGATTTGTCAAATAATACTTCCGCGTAAAAAACAGAGCTGGTTTACAAAAAGGTGATGTATGACACGGATGGAAATGTTTGAAACAAACGTTTATCGCCGTTTTTGATGTGCTTTGCGATGGGCCTATCGCACGTCCTGTTATCCCGATGACGATAATTTTTCAATATATTGTGCAGCCCTAGTCATCACCACGAAACACTGCAGGACAGATTAGTGTTGAGCTGTGATGTTGTGGGTTTCTGTCCAGGTACAGCAACATCCTGCACGTTTTTGTGCGGATCTCTCGAGAAGAAGGCTTGAAGACGTTATATCGAGGTTTCACCCCCACCATACTAGGCGTCGTCCCTTACGCCGGTCTCAGCTTTTTTACTTATGAAACACTAAAGAAGTTGCATGCAGGTACTACATGATCACCCCCTTTCTCCCCATACGGTACATGTATGAGCAAACGTTTCAGTAAACCTCACATCTTCCTTCCTCCTTGCAGAGCACAGTGGGCGCTCACAACCCTACTCATTTGAACGTCTAGCTTTCGGAGCCTGCGCAGGCTTGATCGGCCAGTCGGCGTCATACCCTCTGGACGTGGTGAGGCGACGAATGCAGACGGCAGGAGTGACGGGTCACACGTACGGCACCATTCTAGGCACCATGAGGGAGATTGTGTCTGAAGAGGGGGTTATCCGTGGACTTTACAAAGGTCTCAGTATGAACTGGGTCAAAGGACCTATTGCTGTGGGGATCAGCTTCACTACCTTTGACCTTACACAGATCCTCCTGAGGAAGTTGCATCAGATGGGCTACACTCGATAGTGCCGACAGAAACGGGCTCTTAGAGGAACGATTTTTCTGGAACACACACACACACACCCTTTTAGGATGTGTTGAATACTATTATGGTGCAATACAATCAACCTTTTTATGGGCACACATTAATTTTAAGGCTCCACCCCTATTGAATTGGACTTCTCAGTGCGTGTGTAAGTAGTTTAAAGGTACACACACTTACTCCACTGAAATGAGTGTGTGTTTACAGCAAGCACATCATTAGGCAGTAATACCAAAGGTTTTGAGTTTTCGGGACGTCAGTGGAAGTCGGTGCTGTGTTTCTCTCCACAAAGAAAAATATTAAAGTATTATTGAATGAATCGAACGTTTGAGCCGATTGTCTTCCAGTGTGGCCCCAGACGGCTGAACTCATGATTGTAGTTAATCTGCAGCTCAGTAGTAAGGGCACCCATGTGTTCACTGCAAACATATTGTGGGTTTTTTGAAATGTGAGGTGCTTATATTGATCCCTACATATTTTACTCCCCGTTGAACCCCCCACTCATCCTGAGTAATGCACTCGAAACAATAAGTTGGTTCGTTTTACGACGAGGGGCTTTATTCTGCACTGTTTAAACCGCCGTCGTGACGTTTACAGCCATGCCGCCGCTGACACAGTTCAGAGGTTATGCTTTAAATCTGCCAGAAATGTGAACATCTCAGCCTTGTCGTTAGTTACCAAGTACACCCAGTGTACAAGTATCGTCTTCCACTTCCTGTCGGTGTGACAGCCTTGCTTCGTGCCATCGATTCAAACGAAAACTCTTGCATTCTCACAGTGTCGGTGTCTCTGGCATCAGCCTTCAGTCATACCCTTGCCTGATTGGTGCGTGTTCATTTTTTAACTCTGATGATCCGTCTGGAGGTGGGTCTGGCACCTTAACGTTGGGACAGCTGCTGAAGACAAGAGGGTCGGTTTCTATACTTAGAGCTTACATACTGAGGCAGGAGCCAAGTGGAGCAGAGGGCACGTCGTGTCATGAGTGCTGAGATGTTGATTAATAATGTTATTAATTTCCAGACTTCAGAGATGCTTTATGATAAGTATTTTAGGGGGAAAATTAACTTAGAATTTTATGGAATCTTTTACATTGTGTTTACCCGTGTCAGATTAACAATCAGAACTTTTTTTAAACTTTAAGAACTTTATTGTTAAATGAATGTCTCGCTAATAATCCTGAAAAGTGCTCTTTCTGATATAAAAATGAGAAACTTTAGAGCCAGAAACTGTTTTTGAGAATTGAAGTTGGTGAGTTATCGCTCTTTAAATCAGAAATGAGAAGAAATGAGTTTTATTTATTTTTTGTCCCAGAAGAACAAAATTAGAACTCTTCAGTTTTAGGGGATGAGACCCTTTATTAGCACCAACATAAAACAGACATTTGTCTGTTTTCCTCCTCCTCTTCTAACCATCCCTCCTCAGCTGTGCCTTGTTAAATCAACACCGAGCAACAAAGTTTGAGCTCTACAACGTTAGAAACACATTTTCGTGTGCAACACTTTGTTTTTCTGTTTCCTGTTGCAGCCTGTGGAGTGTCCCTTCAGCTGCAGGTAGCAGATAAAATATCCTTTCTCTAACCTAAATAATCATTTACAGCTTTGTCTGTAATCAGCACATCTTCTGATCTGTGTTACTTAAACAGTAACTGAATGCTGAGTAAAGAGTTACTGACAAGTGCCTAGAATGGAATAGTGGTGTTTTTATTATACTTGAGCTAACTCTGCTAGAAAGGCAGAAGGTGTTTGGGAGTGGTTTTACATAGTATCTCAGTGGCTGAATGTACTTTTTTATCTGTCTAGGTTTTAAGTGTGGATTTGGTGAAACTAACACTGCCTTGTAGAGCGTTTCTGTCTGGGTTGATGTGATGTCATCTCAACAAGTCTTGTAAAACAGTTTCACCTAAAAAGCATTTTTAAGTTTTTTTTTTGTACACCGTTGAGGTAGCTCTGCAACAGAGAAGACGCAGGAGGTCTGGACAATCATTGAATGCCAAAAAAGTGTCAGATTTTTTCAATTGGAAAAAAATCAGACAGCAGCCTAATTAGAAGTGCTAAATCGTTTAAATTTCCTGGAGCATTACATGTAATTTTCTACTCTGTGTTGCAGCAGATTAGCTTTTAGGACGTTTTCTGTGTGCAGTAATGATTTAATAGCTGTTCTGTAAATCCTTGTGATTTGTGCCAACTACGTGTAACATAAATAACCACGTTCTTTGTTCAGTAATGGTGTATTTGTGGGAATATTTCAAAATCACTCTTCCAAAATAAAACAGGAAGTTGACCACATGTTTTTATTTTTATTTTTTCGTTTCTCCTTGACTGTAACTGTGTGTTTAGATTTGGAGATATTACTGGGATGGAATGACTTATTGGTTTGTAACGCTAAAGACAGTTGTGATTTTCCAGTGCTCCTACTTGTGGGCGACGGTGGCACAGGAGTTAAGTGCTCGCTCCGTAATCGGAAGGTTGCAGGTTCATGCCCCGCTCAGTCTGTCACTGTCATCGTGTCCTTGGGCAAGACACTTAACCCACGTTGCCAGCTGGTGGTGGTCGGAGGGATCGGTGGCGCCAGTGCTCGGCAGCCTCGCCTCTGTCAGTGCGCCCCAGGGCAGCTGTGGCTACATCGTAGCTCATCCCCACCAGCGTGTGAATGTGTGTGTGAATGGGTGAATGACTGATTGTGTTGTAAAGTGGCTTGTGGGTTTCCAGGACTCTAGAAGGTGCTATATCAAAAACAGGCCATTTACCATTTCCAGTGCTCCTACTTGAAATAGTTTGATTTTTCAAAGTTTTGAAGGAGCTGGAATTTGAGCTAAAATATCACAGAGCAAAAAATATATTCTTGTGCTAGAAAAATGTAGGAACAAGTGAAACTCCAAAAATTGGCACATGGTGCAAAAGTCCATTTATTTCAGTGATTCGGCTTGGACTGAGAGACCATCTAAAGGCTCAGGAAACGTTTGCAGGTGTTTCACCTACAAACTGGATTCATTAGCTGATTCGAATGTGACACTTTGAGCCTTTATTAAACTTTTTAAAACAATATTCTAATTGTCTCATTTATTTATTATATAAATACATTTGACCAAATTCACCTTATAATCATGATTTTTGAAAATAAAAGAAAAGAGTAATATTTTCCAACATTGTAATGACACAAGCTCTCCACTAGAGGACAATCTGTTCCCGCGATACAACGTTGGGTGTAGTGTTTAGTTTCTACCAGCAGGTGACAGCAGCGCCCTTGTCTAAGGAACTGGGTTCAGTCGCTTGTGCTCGAGGCCGCGGTTTGAACTTGACCATGAACGCACCGTAGCAACATGAAAACCCAACAAAACAGAGGAGACAATTTTAACACTTACATCTATACAACTACTCGGATATTTTAGGTAAAAGCTAAAATATATTTTTATTTAAAATAAACAGATTCTTGTATCGACCATACTTTCAACAAACAAATGTATGTAGTATTTTTATCCTTTTCAATTGAATACGGACTTTTCGTTTGCATTTTTATATGAAAGAGAAAATAAGCTTCAGAAGAAAGCAAAGAGAATTAAGGCTAATTGGAGAGTGAAGTGGGAGGGAACGCTGTTGGAGGATACGGTTGCTATAGATACATGGCACGATGCCGGATGGGGGCAGAGTCGATTTGCATCCATTCAGATGATAGTCGTCTTACAGTCTGTCTGTGAAATAAAAGCAGCACTGAAGCCATTTTTCTCATTTTAATTTCTTCTCTTGACTCAAATTAAAATTTTAATTACTATTTTAATACAAAACTGATTTACAGCAACACTTAAACTTTTTGATGCTTAATGAAAAACACATTTAGCTTCTTAAAAGTATTTCTGTTTTCTTTTGTATAAGAAAAGCAGCTTTAAGATTTCTGTTCAGTAGCAATGGGTATTTCTTGCTGAAGGCTATTTTTTATGTAGAAAAACATTTAATATCAGCTCTAACTTCTTGATTAAATGATACGGTTAACATAAAAAATGAAAACAAAACAGACAACTCTACATTTCTGCACAGAGGCCTGTATAGAAAAGTTTAGGCCTGAATTTCCAAGCTTTAGAGAAACAAATCTGTTGTTTTGGAATAACAAAACATGAAAATACTAAAACATAAAACAATACTTAATATTTTTATTTGAATATCTTAGTTTTTTTATGAATTTGAATGAAATGGTCTGTGTGTTGTTAGAAGCCATATACAGTAAAATGTCAACGAGTGTTTACTGGGCCTTTTGATTATTAAGAACCATTATTACTGTGCTTTATTTACTAATATTGTCATTTTATAGAGTGTAAAACAATTGATAAAATAACGAGTTGACTATATGGCATCAACACAAGTGTACAGAGCAAAAAACTAATTAAAAACAGCAAGTATTGATTTTTTTAACATTTAAATCATACTAGATGTTTGCTTAAAATTCCAATAAAATATTTGACACAACACAAATTTGTTTTTGCAATATTTTTGGAACAGAAACACAATTTTAGTAAAAAAATACAAGGAAAAAAATAAAAGAAACTCAAATGTAGACACACACACACACACACACAAACACACACACGCTTTTTTGGACTGAATTTAACAAACAAAAACCTTTTTACACATCACAGAAAATACCAAATATATTTAGAAAAGAAATCTGTCCACCAAGTAAAGGTTTGCACTCAGTGAGGGATGACTACTGACAGAAATAAGTAAAACAACTTTAAAATCGGGTTTATTGAAGCACATCCTGAACGATAACCGTTACAAATCAGGGAAGTTTGTGTTTGACATGAAATGTAAAAAAGCAGTAACAAACATTCTGATTAATCAACAAAAAATGGAGGAAATAAATATGATTCAGTATATTTAGCAGAAAACAAAGTTCATTCTTAAAGTGCAGGTAAAACTCACATTGGGGCATTTGGGAGCAAAAGGTTGACACACATTAATGTTGGAATGTTTGACAAAAGGGATTAAGCTGGTCTTGTCACTGAGACAAATATTGGATTAAAGAATTCCCAGTCAATCAGAAATCTGTAAAACAAGAAGAAAAACCTAATTAGTAAGAGACTCTGAGTGAAACTAATAGAAGAAATAACCAGAAATACACACACGCACACACACGCACGCACACACACACACACACACGCACGCACGCACGCACGCACGCACGCACGCACGCACACACACACACACACACACACACACACACACACACACACACACACGACTGGTTACAGGAGGCAGTCCAGATTTTTTCACACTTTTTTCATAATAAATATAAACCAGAAGCAGTTGCAAGCACGCTTTAGATGCTTTAAAAAATCTTTTTAGTGCAACTAGAACCACTTTTATTTTGGTTTCTGTTCCAACAGTCTAGATTTTGCAGCGCTGATCTGTGGACGGTAAAATCAAGGTGTGTTCAGGTAAGAATGTGGAGGTGAAATGTCCAAAAAACGGGTTCCAGTCATCATTCGAACCAGACTCATCTCATATTCCGTCTCCAGTATGTTGTTGATGCAAGAGGAAGTCAATCTTTGGAGTCGAAACACTTTTAAGAGCTGTTCTAGAGACACGAGGTCAACGAGCTGCAAGTACACAACACAACAACCCCCCAAACCTTACGATGCAGCAGAGTGGAGAGGGAGGAAGAACGGACAGAAGAATGAGGAGAAACGGAAAATGGGGAGCATAAACACTCAAGAGACACTGGGAAAAAACAAACCAGCAGGGAATTAAACAGGATCGGGGGACAGGGACTATCAAAATAAAACAAAAAGGAATAGAAATATTTGCAAACTTAAATACAAACAGCAAAAAAGACCAACACAAAACAAACAAAAAACAGGGAGGACATATTTGAGGCTTTAAAGACACACACACACACACACACACACACACACACACACACACACACACGCACGCACGCACGCACGCACGCACGCACGCACGCACGCACGCACACACACACACACATTCAAGAAGAGAAGTAGGCCTCCGAGGATGAGCTTCATATGTGAACTTTCAAAATAAAAGTCTTGACCTAAAAAGATCCAGGTTATAAAATGTTTTACTGCTGCACCGCTTCTCATTAAAATCTGGGACATGACCATGTGTGCTTATACAAGGGTGTGATGTTTACCATTTATACTCCAAAGTGCAAATTCAGTCTCTGCTCAGCTGAAATAGTTGTTTAGAGATTTATCAGTGAAGGTAAGAAAAGAGTGTGTATTAGTTTCGCACTCGGTTCCAGGACCGAGAAAATGTGGGAAAGTATCGTACGTGTAAGGGAGACACACACACACACAGACACACACACACACACACACACACACACACACACACACACACACACACACACAGACACACACACACACACAGACACACACACACACACACACACACACACACACACACACACACACACACACACACACACACACACACACACACACACACACACACACACACACACACACACTGCGCCCATCCAACAAAGACGTCCCTTCAGCTCCCCTTCATTATAAATACATGTCATTGGATCACAGCTAGTCTGAATCCCTGAGTCTGCTGCGCTCTAAGTGGCCGTGACTGAGCCCTGAATGGGTGGCCGAGCGACAGTTCTACCAACAAAGCCAACTCTCTCTCTCACTGTGTGTGTAGCATCAGCCTATGGGAATGAATGCCTCACAGTAGGACGAGGTCGGAGGTCAGGGCGTCTGTTATGTCCGAGCACAAGTGCACTCACACACATTTAGCTTTCTGGATTTGGGATTTGCTGAAACAAAACAACAAAAATGAGGCGGTTTCAAGTAAAACTTTTTTAACAAAGTGAGTTGCTGCCTGTGTGTGCGTGCGTGCGTGTGTGTGTGTGTGTGTGTGTGTGTGTGTGTGTGTGTGTGTGTGTGTGTGTGTGAGTGAGATGAAGGTTCACTTTAAATCTGGAGCAATATGTTTCCTGCTGCCTAAACAACAAAGCTGCACCAACCAAGTTCTAGTTCACATGCAAGGAGGGAGGTGAGTGTGTGTGTGTGTGTGTGTGTGTGTGTGTTTTCAAGAGATCCTCCCATCTTGTATGCAGTAGAAACATGAAAGTGTCTCTTTCCCTGTGGACCCACAAACCAGGCCACAGCACCGTACCCTCGCTCCCCTTCTGGGTGTCACCATCAAGTCTTCTATTTCTGAGTCAAAGCTTTAATTCATTTGTAGGTTTAACAAACTTCTTCTTCTCCAGACTTTCACTCAAGCTTCCAGTCTCTGCATGGATGACCAGAGAGTACATC